TGTGAATATCCAATTCATCAACTCCTCGTGTTCAGTCACATGACTTTTCAGCAATGTATAAATGACTCAACTCCTCCTATTCTCTCTACTTCTCTCTTCATTTCCTGATGATTCTAAATTCCTAAGTTGTTATCTTAAGATTTACTTTATAGGATTCAAAATTACTATTGAATTTTTACGTGAAAAGAGCATGTTAAATAAGAAAATGTTATATTAAAAAATATATATATATAAATTATATAAAAAAATAATATAAAGAGTTGTTCTATATCACCACCCATATGAAAATATCAGAGCCGCTTGATAGAATGACCAATCTCTGATTTGGAATTCCGTGGACCCATTAAGCTCGTCGTCAGGTCAGGAATTGCCGGTCTGGCGACCACACTCTCACTTTTCCTAATTTCTGAATCAAAAACCAATTTCCGAAATGTCTTTGAAATTCCAAAACGGAATAGATAAGGCGAGGATATTCAGATTCTTACAGAACACAGCGCTTTCCACTTTGTGTTTTCACAGGCGAAAAGTACATATGGCGAGGAATAACTCTCCAAAAGTTCAAGTCCTCTACGACCTCTGCAAAAACAACTTTACTCCCTCTGGGACGCCTCCCCCATCTCCTCAAGACGTCCAAAAGCTCAGCTCTCTCTTGGGTATTCTTCCTAGTCGCTGTTTTGTTATCCCTTTGTTGATTCTTATGGTATCAGTTTGTTCTGAAATTTGTTTGCAAAATTTGGCTCAGTTATGCTTCTGGGTTTAGCAAATTACGTGAAAGTTTGAAACTTTAAGGATGAATTTGTGATATTGGGTTGTGTGTAGCTCATCAGTAGTTGATTTCACATGCTTTAAAGGTTGATTTCATTTTTTAACTCGTTTCAAAATTCTGGGGTTCTGTGGGTTTACTTTTGTTATTCTTGTTGTTGCTGGTTAAGCCTTATTTTGGAGAGCTAATGCTAAACTATGGAAATTGAAAATGCAGGATTGAAAATTGGTGTAACATCTTGCTTAATTAGCTGTTTCATTTCAGGAATTTTTTGTTAATGAAATTATTGAAAGTAATTCCAAGGTCCTTGCTGGGGTTGAATAGATTCCTGGTATGAGGTTTAGAAAGACTGATAGGAGTATGATGTAAGTTGGTGGTATTTTGATTTATAAGCAGCAGCTTAATTGGTTGGGGCACTCATCAATACAACAATTATTGTATAGAGTTTTTTAGTTTTTGTTATTTGGCTGCCCTTGACAAAAAAGATTCACTCACCTAACCACCTAATTCATCTTGACTTCAGGAAGCTGAGAGTTTTTCTTAGTTTTAGAATATGCTACTTAGCTGGAAAAAGGTCATGGGTTTCACTTAAAATGGTTCTTGGAATGTTGACCAATATTTTTCAAAGCAACAATTTCACACAAAATTGCTAAATTTGTGTGCTCTTTAATTCAATTATCTTGGCAAGTTACATCTTCTGGGACAATCCATGAATAGATATGTGTCAAAAAAATGCATGTGATCTATAATGAATTCAAAAGGGATTGGATCCTTTTTTCCAACTTCAGAAGCAGTAGGTAACAAGGAAATAGAATTACTAGTTGGTGAGAAATAGTCCAATTTGTTTGTTAATTCTAAGTCAGTTGACATTTTCTAGGAATAAATAGTTGTTATCATGATCAATCTGCATGCAAATCCAGTACTTTAAAATTGCATTTTATAATAGTTTAAGAGCTAAAGACAGCAGTATCATGATGTTGAACTTCAATTTAATGCAACTGCCTTTTTTGTGTTTATCTCTCTGATATATAACTTAAAATGACCATTTGCAGACACATTTGGCCCCAAAGATGTTGGGCTTAAAGAGGAAAGTCCAGATGATGATCAAGGGCTTGGTATTTTTGGACTTAATCAACAGACTAGAGTAGATCGGTGGGTTCAACCAATAACATATCTGGATATACATGAATGTAATAGTTTTACGGTGAGCATTATGGTCTCCCTAGTTCATTAACTGAAGGTTAATTTGAGATTTCAAGTCATGTCCCTGACTTAGAATATCACATGGTGTATGTACTGTCAGTGCATTCCATAAAATCAAAATCTTTAGGATTGATATTTTGTTCACCGTTTACTCTTTAAAATTTTGATAATTTGTTTGCATGATGTCCTGTCTCAAGCATGTAATCCATTTCTTTCTGATCAAATTTGTCTCCTAAAAGTTCAAAGCCTTCATTGTTGATTTTATAATTTATATAGAGTGTCACTATCCTTCAAGAAAGAGCTTGTTCTATAACTGCTCTTAATTATCAACAAATGTGGAATTTATAATTCATATATCAAATTGTAAAAGTCAGGGCGTTCAAAAGTCTTTTATTTTTAAGCTGTTTGAGTCAAGTTTCCTTAGATTGACAAATAAATGATGTTTTTTAGATGTGCATATTCTGCTTTCCTACTTCATCAGTTATTCCACTCCATGACCATCCTGGGATGACTGTCTTTAGCAAACTTCTTTATGGCTCTATGCATGTAAAAGGCTATGATTGGGTTGAGCCTGCTATTATCCAGGATAACAAGGGATTAAATTATCCTCGAGGTTTGTTTTTTAATGTTATTTAAAGCTTATGACATCACAATCTTTAAGATTCCTGAAACTGAGGTGATTTGGACTAGGGTAACACAGAATTCTCTTTTGTTTGGCAGTGAGACTAGCAAAATTGGCGGTTGATAAAGTCTTAACAGCACCATGTGTGACATCAGTTTTGCATCCAAAGAGTGGAGGGAATTTGCATTGCTTCACGGCAGTCACCCCATGTGCTGTACTTGACATTCTTACGCCTCCTTACCGAGAAAATTTGGGTAGAAAATGTACTTACTACAAGGACCATCCGTATTCCACCTTTGGTAGGTTGACCTTCTCTTCCTTTTTCATTTTGAACTTACTGCATTTTGCATATGTTATTAGTCTTTCTTTCTACTAATGAAGTACCTCAGGCAAAACTACGGCTGATAAATAACATTTCTTGCACTTCTTATATAGGAAGTGGAGCTCAAATAGACAATGGAAAAGAAGAGGAATATGCATGGCTTGCAGAGATAGGAACACCAGATGAGCTGTACATGCACACTGGATTATACACTGGCCCAGCTATCCAGGCTTAGCTTTCAATGTAAATTATTGTTCTAGTTTGGAAGGTTAGCCCACTTAACTCGTTTCTTCAACTGGGGCTGTGGATTTCTGGTAGCGTTTCTGGTAACCATTTGTAACAGCCCTACCCAACATAGCCTCTAAATGCCAATAGAAAGGGCTTTCCAGGTGATTTTTCTCCTTTGATAAGCAGATATTCTTTTTATTGTTCGCGCAGAATCAAATAGCCTTATTAGCTATATCTTCAGCTTCATTAAATTACATGATCCTGTAAGTGATTTGATACTTAAAATACGATGACCCAACAAAATTCCAGGAATCTGGCAAGGACTTCTTCATCACAAGGCACAACATAGTTACAGATGATAGTGGTTCAGCTAGATTGGTGATCATGGTTGAGTTCCATCTATCCCAAACATTTACTTGGGAAGCAAACTTCATAATAGAAGTACACTTGTATTACTTAAGCAAAACCGAGAACACTTAATTGATACGTATCCGTAAGATTATGATGATATTTATGATATCTAAGCTCAAATGACTACAAAATTTTCTACAGTTCGTCCAAGGTTCATCATTGCTGAAATTCATGCAAGATCTTATTCCAGTAAAATGAACAAGGTTATGCTCTCTCTTCTCTAAGGAGATCTGAAAGCTTCACCAGCATATCTAACATTTCCAAGCTCCTCTTCAATGCGCAGAAGCTGTAAGCAAATTATTATGAAAATAACAATCACAAATTGAGTAAATAAAAATGTGACCATATAGGCATTCTGGAGATATTTAACAGAAACATGCACGAAAGACACATTTAGCTTAATACTGTAAATTATTAGCTTCAAATATTCTGACCATATCAAACCATAAAAATGATATTTTTCAGTTCATATCTACTTAAGTGCTGGAAGTACCTACAATAGATAGACAAAAGGAGAGAGGGTTTTGGTGGGATAGAGAGGGTCAACAGACAAATGAAAAGGGCTCAAGATTACCTGATTATATTTTGCCAATCGCTCACTTCGGCAAGGAGCTCCAGTTTTGATCTGTACAAGAGAACAACAATGAGTAGATAATTTCCAACATTAACAAAAATTCATTGCTAATATTAAGTGCTTGTAGAAATTTAGAAGAGAAAATGTACCTGTCCATTGGCCAAACCAACAGAAAGATCGGCAATAAAGTTATCCTCTGTTTCACCGCTTCTGTGACTGACCATGATTCCCCAACCTGCAGCTTTTGAGTCAAGTGCTGCTTGAATGGATTCGGTCACCGTGCCAATCTGGTTTACCTGCAATACCAAAACAAGGACAGGACAATTACATGTTTGATTAGCATTCCTAAGACTGATGAAAGAAATGCCTCACTGAACC